GTGCCGAAACAATAATCGATCGATCGCTGCTGCGGCTCGATACCTGGTACAAGGCTCGACGAGCCCTAGAAGACCCAGTGCGGCTGCTGGAAACGGCTGCCGGACGAGTGCTGACGCGCTACAACCCGAGTGCGGCAAGTTCACAAGAGCCCTTCGCCAAGAAGAGTGGCTTTTGTTCTCTGCACGGAGGACAATCTGCAGGGTCGCCAACACATGGTCGCATTCCCTCCTCATGCGCGATCATGACCATCAGCTCACCCTCATCCGCAGCACCTTGGGCTGCGCTGCTCATCCCAGACAGCAGCACCGTCGTCCCCACCACTACTCCGCCGATCAAGAGGAGCGCCGCCCTCGCGGTTCTGGAAAACGCCCGTCCCCCTCGCCACCACGCTCGCGGCCCGTGCCTGCGGTCGTCGCTGGCTTCGCGGTGGGCGCATTCTGCACCGGGGCCCGGGCGCAAAACGTGGCGCCTCCCTTGGAACCTCGGCATCGCCGCTCTTCTCTTGATTGCTTCCGATGCCGGCCCTGCGGCGCCTCTCCGGCCGGTGCTTTCGGAAATGGCGCGCTTCCTTCGCGAATCGCGACGTTTGAGGTCTCACTGCTGCCTCGCTCGATGCTGGCAGTCACCAAACCGAGCTTCTGACACCTTGAGGAGGGGCTGGAGGGGATGGGGCGGCAGCGGAAATGTGGGGCCGGCAGGCGAAGAAGGGGTGACCCTGGTCGGGTGAAGTTGCGAGACGAGTTCTGGACTCTCGCTGGGGGCTGAATGCTGGCGCGCCCAGGCTCAGGGCCCCTGCAGAATCAGGCGGGGAATTCATGATGATCGGCATGCGATGAGGCTCGTGAAGGCGGCGTTCATGTGAAACGGGCTCTGCGTGCCAGGGGCATGAAGATGCTGAAATTCGTGCCAACCAAGCCCAGCCGGACACAAGATACGGTTTTCGAATACTGCTCAACGGTTCATTTTTGCAGGGCTCAGGTCACGAGCCAGCTCTTTACTTCGGCCGCAACCCATTGTGTCACAGTTATACGCATCGCCATTGCGGCGCACTCCATCATCGCACACAAGCAAATTTGCTTGTGTGTGGTGATGCAGTGTGCCACAATGGCGATGCGTGTTACGTCTTTAGAGAGATCCCATGGCAGATGCAGACCAAAGCATCGTGCCCTTGTCTTCACGACTCTCACCAAGGCTTCAAGCCCAGCGCTGTGCACATTATGGAATCTTTCTGATGAAATCACTATTGGAGGCTTAGGCAGGTGGGAGCAGCCAATATGCAGCCGATACTGGTCCGGCGTGAATTCAGGAGGGCCTAGTGGAAGGATATCGTGGACTTCCCCGAACAGGCGGGATACGCGACTAATTCGAATCAGACGTGAAAACGTAAAATGAATCAACTTGAAAGTATTTCCAGAGTTTGGTGCTCCCCTGCTCCACATTGAATCCATATTTCCCGACACGCGAATCCAAAGATGCACAAGTGTCGCCCCCTAAAATGTAAAGCGGCAGCAGCTGCCAAAATAGCGCCTTGCGTATCGCCAGTGCACGCGTTAACCTCCCCAATTCAAAACTCAGTCACTAAACGATGCCAGCAACGCTTCCTTAACAACTGTCGGCAAATGATTCGGCAGCTGAATACCTGGCAAATGAACTAGAATAGCGCTCTAGACCCTGCAGCACATTGTCAAAAGTTAGTGGCGAATCTTCACCAGAGTGATTCAGGAGCTGACATTGCCTCTATCTGCACCCGTAACCTTCCCTGCTGCATTGTTTAGATGTAAGTCACAACAGTTCAAACGGTCGCTCATTCCTCTGAACGCCCATTTGAGCGTGTCTGTAATTTTGCGAGCATGAAATTGAACATCGGAATGCGGATTAAGGAATTCAACCTTTACGTGATGGTGCTGTACAGGCGACAATACCGCGGTTCTCACAGGCTAGGCAGTCTGTCAAGATTGTGAACACGAAAATCGTGTCACTCATTACGTTCCCCAAGTTCACGGAGAAAGAAATTGATTGAAATGGCACTCTCAACAGACATCGCGTGGGTTGGGTACTACTGTCACAGTTGGGGCATGCAATCGATCACGAAGGTGAAATAGGTAACGCTGCATGCGCATCAGCAAAGCATGCTTAGAGCAGGCTTGGTTTTTACGTTTACGTTTACGTTTTTGCTTTTACGTTTTTATGCGTAAAAACGTAAATTTGCGAAAGGGCCTGTTTTTACGGCTATTTTTACGTTTTGCGGCTCCCTGGGACGCTCAGATTACATGATGAAAGTTGCGTACAATGATCAGTCCTCTGCCATATCCAGCAGCCACAACACAGTGTCCACCTCGCCTTCGGCAAGGGCGATGATGGTGTTTAACAAAAACTCGTCTTCTGCCCCTTCCAGGGCGTCAGGCTGCCACTCTCCGGACTCCGTAAGTTTGTATGTACTGTCCTTATGTACACCAGGCAGTTTTTACGTTGTATTTACGTACTTTTACGCATTTTTACGCGTAAAAACATAAAAACTGTTTTTACGTGTAAAAACGTAAATACGATCGGTTTTTACGGCGTAAAGACCAAGCCTGGCTTAGAGAATCATCTGTTTTCCATGTGTGCGACCCCTTGTATGTGCCGACCGTGAAAAGCCAGATTACGCTAAATTTCCGGCCGCTGCATGGACAGCGCACGCCCCGCAGAGCACTCTGTTTGTGCAATATGACATGCGCAAATATGGGTAGTGTGGTGGCAAACACTTTGAGCGACGGCAGCTTGCTTCCACTGGGCGTTTCCTAGGCATCACGAATGCGAGACACACATTGACAAAAACAAAAACAAACACGGCAAAAACCACGCCGGCACCGTCCGAAGGCGACTGCCCCTCGCTGCCACTGGATACCTTGCTCGACGCGCCATTGGGCCACCACCGCCCGGAGGCGTCGGGGCACCGACGTGGCACCCACCTTGCTGTTGTGACTCCTGCACCGAATCGAAGTCATTACAATTAAAAAGTGTGGCGGATTTCCGCCCTTGGCTGCGCTGGGCGACGTTGGATAACGTGGCTGTAATCTGGACAAGGGTTGTTCGCACCATGTTCTCCAGCATACGGCCGCTGCTTCGGGAGCGACTCCTGCCGAATTGACAGGGCTCGCAATAGGCAGCCCCTCGCAAAGATCAAAAGGGCGCGATGCTCAGCTGCCTGAGGTCGCAGCACTGCGTCCCAATTTCAGGATATTTGAAAGGCTCCGCAAGGATCACCCTGGTCGTTCCTGAACCAGAGGCCGTGCACTGGAGAGTGACGACCTTTTTTAGTTATTCGTGAAGACAACGCAAATTAAAGGTCAGTGCGTATCTTTAATGGCACTGCTGAGGTGCGCTGGGCTTTTGGTGGCAGTACCCGAGCTTCACGGACCAATGTTTTCAGTTTCCCCCAATGCATTCACGGAAACACTTGGGTTGTGTGGCTCACAAGATTTCATTGTCAGTCACAATGTGCCATTGCTGCAGTTCTCCAGCAGTTCTGGCAATGAGACACATTCTGTCGATTCTGTCATGCTGAAGGGCAAATTAGTCCCAAGCTCGGACCCTCGCCCACAAACCCACCTCTTAGCGCCATTTATTGTGTCGACGCCTGCAATATTTGGGCAATACTTGAAAACTGCGACACAGCAGTATGGCGCACAATTCAGTGGCCATTGGTTTGTAGGCTTACTGCGGGGATGCGCGGACAGCCTTATGCGCTCCTTTTGCAAAGTCACACACTGACCGCGGTTCTGGTGCACGACCCAATTTATGAATGTTATGCATGACGCGCACCTCCATCAGTTGCAAACACTCTCAGTGCTGCAGTGCTCCAGCACATATGTCGCGATAGAGGCACGTCAACTCCTCAGCCCCGAACACGGGAATGCATGGAGCTGGGGCACAGGCCACGCTGCCTGGTGGCTGCTTGCGGGGCGAAGGGCCTTGCAATGTGGGATTGGAAGGTGGAATCGGCAACTCTTGCCAAATTCACCTCCGATGCCATCTGGCGACTCACGTCCGTGCCATTTGGGAACCAAGAGCCCCTCCAGTGCCATGGATCCAAGAAGAGGCGTGGCGAAGTTGGACTGTGAGCGCAGTGCAGAGCCGTTCGAAAACATTGCAAGGAAGGCGAAGGAGGCTTGTGGGATCCAAGCAGCGAGCATGTAGCGATGGATTCTTGAAGAGATGGTAGGCGACGGGGGCAGTTTGGTCGCTGCCGATTGAGACATGCTGGGGTCGCTCTCACCTTGCGAGAATTGACGCCCAGCGTGACAAGGTCCAGACAGTGCCACCCGGTGCCAAACGCATAATTGCTCACACGAGACAACACGTTGGAACAAACCAGTGCATCGGACCGGCTTCAGGCCAATAGCTTAACGGCACTTACAAATCAAGCATGGTCGGCGCCACCTTGCGGCCCACACCACAAGCAAAGGGAGCAACGACATATCAAATGATATCCAGCAGCAGGACTTTCCAGTGAAGCCACCCAGCCGCAGTTATGCCCGTTCTCAAACCACACTGCCTGGACTCTTTCTTATTCACACCAGCAGTTGCCATGATCGTGGTACTCAGAGTCCAGTTGGCATCTGCTTCAAACGTTGATGACAAGAGCGAGCCCACTGACCCCTGCCCCCAGCCACATTCAAGCCTGCAACATGCATGTCTCCCAGCAGCTGATGAGACTGATCCTACGCAAAGCGAAGCGCCACATGACAGAGAGGTGACTTGCAGTGCTGGGCGACATGGAGCTGCACTCATGGACTGAGTATTGGCTTTGAAGACTGGTTCCCATCATATGGGATTCACAGGAATGGTCATACGACTCGCACCAGCCATACGCACATACTATACACTCACATCTTCCACCAGAAATCCATACATCTGACATGGTTCTCTACACGCTGCAGTGAAGGATACTGTCAGCACTGCATTGCCTTGTCCCTTTGTTAAAGGCACATCAAATTTGTCACAGCCGTTTGCGGCATTATCCTCGACCGTTCTTCCTCAGGCGACTGAGCAAGCGTCTGCTGCTGTTCCTCGAGTTCGGCTCAGTAGCTGCCGGATTGGAAGCTGGTAGATTGCCATGGCTATCCAGCTGACCAGCTGCAGAGCTTGGAACAGAGGACCCAGTGACTGTCCTACGTAGTTCCACAACCAGCGGCTCTTCGATCATCTCAGAGTGCAGCTTTGGGCTCCGTCGGATGTCCAAAGTCGTCCAGAGCCTTGCCCACATCCTCAGCCGATGCCAAGTCATAAGTCCACAAAACATACTGATGACGAATATGCGTTCACGCGCCTGAGCGCTTATTGCCGTTGCAACTCCTGTTCCGATCACCACAAGACCTGACATTATGCAGAACGTCCATACAAGGGCAGGGGGGAGGGATCGTGGCCGCATGCGCTCCTGGGCAAGATGCAGTATCCTCCGCCTGTGTGGAACAACAGTGATTCCTACGTATTCCAGCAAGTCTTGATCTGTGGCTATGAGTATATCATGCACAGAAGAATACCCTTTGTCTGCGAAGTCTGCTGTGTACTGCTGCATACCCACGGTCCTCAGAAAAGCATCAATTTCGTAGCGACCACCTGAAAGGGCAGACTGTATGCACCTGCCAGCAACCAACAGCAAGAACAGTACAGCAACATACCCAAAGACCTTCTGCACATCCTGATTCAAGCAAAACGACTGCACTTTGTTGGCTGCAAGTTTGGCCTGATGGATCATGCTCACTTCCAGGGCAGTGGCTCCCGGCTCAGTCACATCCTGCACTGTGCCCAACTCCATGCCCTGGGAAAGCCCATTGCGGCCCCTGGCAGGAGCTTCATGACGCCCACGTTCCCCCACCCCAGACAACGGCTCAAGACCCACATAGGACAGCAGGCTGCGGCCATCCTGATGATGAACCTGCCGCCTTGCCTCATTCTCAAAAGCCCGGGGAGCCCCATCCAAGTGCATCACGTCCCTGTGCCTATCCACCATATCAGATGAAATCTGTGAGGAATGCACATCGCTGTGTCTGCTGGCAGGTGATGTGTCTCGGGCTGGCAAAGGTGGCCGGCCGTTCCTGGACCTCCTGTGGTTGTCTTGCATCGCCAGAGAGCTCCCACTGGGGGGTGCCTCACGATCTTCTGCCATTGTTGACGCCTGTGGAGAATGCAATTCAGGATTCAATAACAGCGAAGAGTTCCCAAATAATCTGATCGCGCAGCACCCCTTCAGGTCAGAAACGTTTTGGGAACCCAACCACAAGTGTCAGATGTACCATGATGTCTCTGGGGCGAATCAACCGCGCCAACATCTACACGTGTGAGCCAATGGACCAAAATGCGCGCACAGTTTGCGGCTGCTTGGCCAAGCATGGAACATGAGACATAAACATTGCGCAGCAAAGGCACCTGACAAAGCACCCTCGTAACCAACGTCGTACTTGTCTGAAGACACCACTCATGTATATTATTGCTGGCCCTCAAACACTCCAGTACCCCTTTGCATTGCCAGCAAGAGGAGGGCACACAAAAGACAGCACAGGGTATGTACAACTGCAAATTTTGGCTGCTTGCTCGCAGTGTCTCCCAACGCCACTGGCAACATCTGGTCTCAGGCCATGACAACCATATTCACGACCGCTATTGCGCACAGCCGCGTGTAGCGCTCTTCATATTCAATTGTCCCCAAGGCCGCACCTGCTAGGAGTTGCCCAAATTGAGCACACGCGACCACGATCAGAAACTGCCTAGTGCCACACCGGTCGTATTTCCAGTCGGAAAGCACAGATTGTCGAGCTCTGTACGCAACAGACGAGAAGTTTGAATTAAACACACGATCCGCAGAAGGCTGTCCAGCATCCGCAAGTACCGCCTCCGCTGCCACAGGTGTGTGGGAGTTTGTGCCGGCAGCTTCTCGTCGTCTGGCCGAATCGCTGCAGCAGGTCGGAAAGCTGTTCGAGACGCAAGGAGCAACACAAACATGACAACGACTTGGTGACAAGGGGGCATAAAACAGCCACAAATAGGCGGAGCGAGCTGCCGCATGGTTGTTGATGTGTGACCTGGTCACTTCCCACACCCGCACCTGGGCAGGGCTTCCCCCTCCAGCCCTGCACGATTGGGGAAAGGCCTTTGCGGCAGGCTCTTCGCCGCGGCGATCGCTGATTCAGCACCCTCGATCCTCCGGTGGCCACCCCCTTCCGAGCTGTGGGCCTTTCGGCTGACCTTGGCGTCCCACCAAGACCGCCCCGATCCACGTGGTTGGGTCCCACCAAGGTTGATAAGACAGCAAGCGACTTTGGTGAAGCGACATGCGCTTCTATCCCACAGAGCAGGTGCCACCCCGATAATGCCAACGTCGGCCCCACGTCACATGAAAACTGGGAGTGATCATTCCTCCGTCACCACCAAAGCCCGCAAGTTGGTCTCGTTGCTGGGCACAACCCATGTAGTGCACGCGGGGGAAAACCTGCCAGGCCCAAAGCTCAGCACCCACCCCTCGCTGCCACTAAGGCGAGGATGAACACCGCTCAGGGGAGGCTCGCTGGTGGCCACGCCGTGGCGGGAGGAGCCCCTGCACACGCCCCGGGGCCACGTGCATGCCACATAGGCCGACGCGGGACTTCCCCCGCGGTGGCTGCCGTGGCTGGCTTTCCCAGAAGCGAAGGTGGGATGCGTCGCGGCAGAAAGGAGGAGGATCCCAGCTGCTTCGAGGATGCGGAGAAGGCCGTCGCCTTCAACCGCTGCTTGTTCCATTTCGACCAGGTGCGTCACGTGAACGGGCCTCCCCGCCCTCCGCTGCGCACTTCTTGCGCTGAAACGTCGGTGCACAGCACTGTGCGCCTGCACATCGGCGACGCATCTTGATCATTGCTTGTGTGTAAGGGAAAAGGTGCGGCCATCTTCTGTGCAGCCTTGTTGAGCTTGTCCCACGTTGACCTAGGTCAGCTTCTAGGCCTAGAAGCTGACCAAACGCGAACGCGTTCGAATGGGGACCCCTGGATGGTTTTGCGCCGTCCTTCTTCGCTGTAGTGGTTGCCCGGGGCGTCCTAGACGCGACGTACCAACTGCCCCTGTGGTGCGTTTTCTTAGAGGAAGCACGGCGCGGGGCAATTGTTTTCGGGGGCGCTGTCCCGCGAGTGCCGTGTGTGCACAGCCGTTACGTAACGCTTTGCCGATGTGGTTTTCCGCATTTGTTGTTGCCTCATGCGCAAACCGCAGGGAAGGTGTCGGGTAGAAGGGTTGGTCAGGGGCGAAAGAGGGTGGAGGAGAGAAATGAACAATACAGCCGAATCAGGGCGCCTTTCGGCAATTGACGTTTCACTTGTTGTCGTGTGACATGATGTGGTCATGTGCACGTGATTGCGGACGGAGCGTCCTTGAGCCAGGTTGTCTTGACTCTCTTGTCACCTTTCCTTTGCGCCATCGGCCGTTGCCAGCGAATCGATTAGAACACTTTCTGTGTCAAGAGCGGTGTGGTAGCACTTGCTCTTCGACCTGTTAAATTTGTGTGGCAGCAGGTGCCCTGTGGCCTGTTTCATGCGCTTGGTGTATTCTTAACTTTGCTGTTGTTGCTGTTACAGCTCGACCACAACGGGGCGGTTGAATGCGTGGCTTTGGCGGAGGATATCGACAAACAACTGCAAGCCAACCCGGAAACCGACATATGCTCGGAGGACGTTCGTTCACGTCCTGACCATGTCAAATGGTTTATTTCATTTGTGTCCACGGCATTTGGATTGTAGCCAAGAATGAAGTGGATGTTTGGGTACTCAACAGTGCCCTGTTGTGACAGCTGTTGGGTCATCTTGCTTCGACGATTGCACTGGGAGAGATTTTGAAGTACTGGCTCTCACCAATTTTGAGTCATTATTTTCACCCGTGGAGTAGAAACCCTATAATAAAGTGTGCTCCTTCGGTGGAGTGCATTAAACGGAATTTTGCAGACAGGTGGTGAATGCCACATGTGGATGGCGCATATGGCACACCCTGGGAGGATATCTGTTCATGCCACGGCTGCCCCAAATCATTGATCCCGTTTCAATGTAAATATATCTGGAGCGTTGGCACCAATGGGTCGCCATCGTCATGGGCGGCAACATTGGTGTCGTGTTCTCACGTTTGGACTGGACTAGTCTGTAGGATGGATTTGTGACTCCATCTCGCCTATTTGGGGGTATCTGGCGAACATGCAAGAGCCACCAATTTGTCGTGGAATATGGATACCGCTGGCGCTGGAATGAGGAGTGCTCAAATCACGAAAACCGCAACACTGTAGGACCAGCAATGCCATCTGGTTGTTGTTGGTGCAGAGCAATGGTGTCATTGACTTTACCCCTCACACGTTGATTTTAGTTGGTGTTGTCATCCGCCCTCGCGCTCACAATTGTCTATATATCTTTATGACGCTGGCAAATACCCAATCAGGTGTGACACACAGTACACCGCTAGCTTTCCTTGAAAGTTCATGGATGGCAGCTTCATGTCGAGGCCTGAACTGCATGCCTGTCAGATGTGTTCCAGTGTTCAATATAGCGATGTCCCAAACTATATGGTACTGCAATATTCTAATGCATGTAGACAATCGCAGCAGCAGTGCTGTTTCGATATACTTGTAGCACAAGTCAGCATGCACATGCAAGTTTTGTGTACACCTATTTGTGGACTTTCTGGTGGAACACTGTGGACCTGATCAGGTCTTACCGTATTGCGACTTGCTATGGTAATGCGAGCGGCTGTGGCTGCGTTCGCTAGAGGCCACACAGACCCCCCCTGCTTGCATGAAATAAGCACGGCGTGCGGGGTGGATTGTGCCATCCCTAGTAGGCACGCAGGCCGCATCATTGGTCTTGCCTCGACCGACTGTGTGCTGCTGGTATTATCGGCGAAGTGTGGGACGCCTGGCTCGGGGGTGTTGCAAATTGATCGGTTCGAAGCAAATCAGGCCCATAACTCATCAACAGCCACGATGATGATGCCTCGTGAACAGTGGCAACACAAGCTATTACTCAGCAGTCGCTAGTGAGAGTCCCAATCATTGCCCACAACGCACAATTGCTGTGTTTCTCATGGTTTGTTCTGGAAGTTAGAATCCGGCAATGGCTGCAAAGAGCAGCCCTGACAGTGGACTCTGCAGGTCCCGATACGTGGACTCTACACGTGGGAGTAGAAACTGCCTGAAGCGCGCTCAGACACCACTAAGCTGCCCAGATTAGGACCTTGTTTTCCAGATTTAGGCGCGGCAGATTTGAGCGCTGCAAGGCGGGCACCCAGATCAGGGCTATTTTTTTGTGTCCGAATTGCCACTTTTTGGCCGAATTAGGTTTCAAATGACCGGCTGGAAACGCCAGAAGGGACCCCGATGTGGACAAGCTGCCCGGCACAACACGCTGAAACGTGCCCTAATTCGGACAATGTCTGGCAAGAAAACTACAAAATGGCCCCAATTCAGACACGCGACAATCGACGACTTTGCATTGGGACTTGAGTTCCACACAGTTCTGAGTGGTACAACTGCATGGTGGGGGCCAATCGCCAAAATTCTGTTAAGCTCAGTCACCGTTTTGGTGATGGCAACGGGCCAGTTCGCTGTAGTAGAAGATGCAGTTGTCAACTTGCCACCTTGCTGCGCCTTGCCGCGTTGCTGCGCCGTGCACTCTGCGGCAATCTCCTCTTCAAGCAAACCAACGCCGGGGTTTGTCCATCGAGCTATGCGTGTTTTGTTGTTTTCCATCAGATTAGATGGAGGTTGAGCACTGCCACTGATTTGTGCCCAGCAAGGTTTCTATTCCATGCAATCGGCAGATTCGTGGCATGCAATGCTGGTCGCTTTGTGCCTCGCTCATCAACTGCCGCCCACGCTGATGCAAACGCTCCCAAAATAGTGGTGATCGTCCCCCACCCCCACCCCCACCCCCACCCCACCTCATCGAGGCCACCGAATCCGCACTCGTCAAGAATGTGGGCGTGACGTTGTCAGCCAAATGGCCGTTGCCATTCACCATGGCAGCCACGTCCGGCAAAGTTTTGGTACGGACCACCTTAATTCGGACGAAGTGTCCAGCAGTATATTGAAAAAGCAACCTCAATTCTGACAGTGTCCAGCGAGGCTGAACGACAACGACAACGCTGACCCAGATCTGTGTGGAGTGCGGATCGGCTCCCACCGAAGACTACTGCGTTTGGAAGCTCTGGACGCCGATGTTGTCGCACGCACCCGCTGGACGGCCGGCCGCCCCGCGGCCTGCAGACCCTAAATGCCGCAAGGGGCCCGGCGCCGGCGCCTACCGCAGTGCGGACGGAGACAGGTACATTGGGACATGTTTGTGATTTCATTGGGCGAAGGGAGCGCTGCGAAAGAAGAGAAAAACTGTGATCCCACACGCCTGAAAGTCGGGGAGTGCGGAGAGGGTCTTGGGCGCTTGATGCGCAGCGTTCTTGCTGCAAAATGGAGCACTTGTGAGCCACCGGAATGGAACACACGGCGAGCCATCGGGGTGACGTTGTGAGCGTGGCCTCCGGTGGAAGTGACGAGGGGCTGGTTCGCATTGCTGCACCTGCCGTGGAGCGTCATTGGCGACGAGGCGAGGCCATTCAGGAGCCATGACACCTGCGTTGAATGCGTGCGTCAGGATCGCCGACCAGTCCAATTGGCTTCAGAGGCGCCAGATGTTGCTGTGCGGTGGGTCAGCCGTGCCATTGCTGCTACTCCAGGCTGACAATGCATTGGCCAGGCAGAGGCCAGGCCTGGGGGTAAGGTATAGCTGGACATTGCTCACTATCGGTGGTAGGTGAGACAGCCTGTAGTGTGGTGCATGCATTTGTGATTGGTGTTCGCCTTCACAGGCTGGATCCATCAAAACCACGACAGAGCATGGGCTTCTCACTTGTTAGACGATATCAATGCAACTGCTCGAACCCGGTTCTGTGCCTGTCCTTGGCACCGGTACCATGTGCAGAGGATACACACAGTGGAGGTTTATACTGATGAATGACAGCCCGATCGCACATCACAATTTGTTCAATGATCAAATAACAATAAATACCACGAACTAAGAGACGCCGTTTGTCTGCTTGTTACACTGTTTGTGGTTTGTTGGTCATTCAGGTGGAATCACAGCAATGTGCACTGGAGGAACTGACAACTGAGTCTGCAACTGAGTGCAGGCTCAAGATTTTGAGGTGAGTGCTGGTTAAGCATCCTTGATTGGGCCAGTGTTCTCCCACACTGGTGTGCAACTGCTGAAGTCTCTTTGGCTGCAATTGTGCTGTCCTGTCAGAATTGTGTGCATGTTGATGATCGAATTTAGTTGACGAATGCCAGTGAGGTCATGTGGATGTGGCATGTCCCGGAGTGGACTTTGACGCCTATCGGTCACTGTCAAGGGTTGATACCACCATCTGATGTGTACTCAGAGTTGAGAAAATGAAAGAAAATTCAGGTTTCGCTTACCGATTTATTTTTGACTACAGTGATGCACAAGCCTAGTTTAGCAAATGGGCGAGAAACATCTTGGATGGTAACCTGCTTGTTGCCTTATCATTTGCACTGGCCCTTTCAGTTTGTGGAGGAGATGAGACCTGACTGCTGAAACTCATGATGTGTTATTCACAGCATTGAAAATGTACACGTGTTGGCCTTCCAGCCTATGGGCCTTCGCATCCTGCACTTGCGAATTCAGATCCATAGCTTCAACAGGACACTGGACGACTTTGTTGACAGAATATGAAATCTGGAGTCAAGGCATTGTTTGGCTGTTGATTGCAGGGAGGATCAGGATGCTGCTGGGAGCGCTGACTACAAAGCTCTAGCAAAGGAAAACCAAACACAGGGTGAGCCACAGCGGCATGCCGTTCCCATCAAGAGCATCACAGAATGAACTTCTTGAAACTGTGTGTTGGTTAAGGCTCTGTCATCACTGGTGTCAAAGATGTGTCTTGTCTTGTTGCACCAATTCTCAGAGCACAAGGTTGATGCAAAGGCCAGGGTACGCATCCCAGTTGGCAGCTTGCCAGCCCGGCAGCACGTCACTGTTGTTCCCCCTCCCATTTTGTCACAAGCTGACGTGTTTGATGTGTTATACTGGCTGTATACAGCCGCGGGTGTTGGCACAGCGACAGGTGCTGCTGATGCGGAGTATGTGGAGATGACAACAGCACTGGCAGACTATATTGGACAATGGGCATCCCTGGTGAGATATTGTGCTTGGTGCTTGGAGATTTTTCAAGCTCCACTTGTCGAATCTGCTTGGGTGGTCCCCTTCCACCACTAACAAAAACCTGCCTGTGAAATGGCCAGGGACATTATTGCCAAACAAACTAGGCATGCAACCATGGTGGCCACCCCAATAGCAAAGCACAGCAGAAAGCTATTAATACATTTGGCCACTCGCATTGGGACCCCACTGCATGTAGCATGGCATGGCCAAAGGGGGCGCTATTGAGGGTCAGTGGTGCTATTGTGTGTGTGTGGGTGGGTGGGGGGTATCCTAAGCAGCCGGTGTAAAGGGTACCCCGGCCGCCGGTGTAGGGAGTACAGTAAGCTGCCGGTGTAGGGGGCACCATGGGCGCCGGTGTAAGGGGTACAATGGCCACCGGTGGAGGGGGTACTCTGGCCGCTGGTGTAGGGTATCATGGCAGCCGGTGTAAGGGGTACCCAGGCCGCCGGTGTAGGGTGTACCCTGGCTGCCGGTGTAGGGGGTACCTTGGCCGCCGGTGTAGGGGTTACGCCACACCGAGCCTACCGGGCCAATACTGGCATTTGGTGCTGGCGACTTAGTTGCAGCGCCGAAGTCGCGGGCGCTGGGGCCTGTCGCAGTGAAATAAAGTACTACGGGAACGGTGACGAGCCAGTCAGGGGGTCGCTTCACCTAGATGGCCGCTAAACAGGGGTTGCTAAACCGTCGCCCCCCTGTACTAGTTTGAGGTCCCAGTGCGCAACAAAGCTGCGTAAAGTACTACAGAAATGGTGCCAACCCAAAAAGGGGCCGCTATTGGGGGGGCGCTATTGGGGGGGCGCTATTGGGGGGCCGCTATTGGGGGGGCGCTATGGGGGGGGGCGCTATGTTGGGACCCCCTTACTGTAGTGCGTGCCTATGGTTTGCAAGGTTCACATGGGTTTTTTGGCAGCCACAATGTACCAGCCTAGAAAATTGCAAGCTGAGTGGACCATTTGTAGGCTAATGCTGCTTTGTTATCATCATCGTCCTGTTCAACTGTGAACACTTTGTAGAAGTGGATAGTCAGTACATGACTGAGACAAAGACTGGGACAACAATGGATATATTGTTTTTGTGTGGTGAAATAGCCCTTGGTGGCTGACACACCATTAATGGCATTTCTTCATCATCATCATCATCAACTGTGAATTCTGGACTCCTGACATGCAAAATAGGCATATCAATTGCGTGGCTCTCTTTCAGTTGCTCGTTGACCTGTGTACAGCATACTGCACAACTTCTGGAGTTGCTCTAAATTTGTGGAAACCGGGACACCGCAATTGTCAGAATTTTGTAAAGCACCAACGTAGCCTGTGTGGTGGTTGATTAGCATTCTCTGAAGGGCAGGTTGGGTCCATGGTTTGAGCCCTGTGGTGAGCTCATCACGAGTAAAACACAGCAAAGAGGCTTTTGACCCTGTTTGCTACTGTGCATGCAGAAGCGCATCACAATGAGATTTTCGAAGGAATTTTTGCACAGGTTGTTGCATTGTTTTGTTTCAGACATGCCCAAACCAGTAGCCAGCTGGGAAAGCAATCTTTTGGATATCCCTAGGCTGTATCGCAGACTGTTTGACGATGTAATGGTGTTCCATTTGAAACTGTTGAAGCTGTATTTCTGGCCCTGACATCACGTGTATATGCAGGGAATTGCTGACAAGCAGGTGCTGTGTAAAATTATTCGAACTTGGTGAAAACTGTGTAATATGTGACATTCAGGTATGGCAAGCACTCCTTGCAGTAGCACTGAAGGTGCGCATGGCAGCAATTGTACTTGATTTTGGTGAGGTTGCAGATGGTTCAGTGCATGGGCATTCTGCTGGTACTGGGGCTCACATTATCCCCAGACTTCTGAGCAATGTGAAAGAGACAGCAGAACTAGGGACAAATTTTAGGGTGAGCATACTTTCATTGGAGATGACTGACATATGTGCGTTTTCCACTGCTTTTTTCAGGATGTTTATGACCCTGCGAGGTTAACTGCACTGGCTGCAATCAAATCTGATGGCCCAAAATGGGTCAGCAAGTATGCACGAGGTGGCAGTGTAAAAAATCAGAGTGCAAGGAGGTTTTACATAGCGCTAGATGCTGCCTTGGGACACATTGCGCCAAACGGGTGAGTCAAGATGTTTGGTGGTCCTTCATATGTAGATTTGGCCTTCTTTGGTTTTGCAAATTTGTGCAAGTCGATGCTGTAGTTGCTGGGAAAAATCATGGCCCTTGTGTAGTTGCTTTTGACTGTCAATAGTGATCGTTTGGTTGGTTTGTGGCAGATTGGCTCCATTTCCGACTTCAAGGCTGCAAAAGCTTCTTGACACTGTGGAGGACACAAAGCAGCTCCTATCACAAGGGCTATGATGTTTAGGCATGTGGCTATACCTGCCGCAATGTGAGCATTGATGAGCTATGGCCTCCTCCCTTGCGGCTGCAAGTTCATACAGACTTTGGACTGCGATTTTATTGCTCCTTTGTGGATTATTTGCGGGTCTCTGAACCTTGAAACTTTTAACTTGGTCTTTTGTCCTGTTGCCAATATGATAGTAATCCTGATATAGCTCCCTCTGATCCTGATATTGCCCCATTAGCACCCCATTATTTTCGCCTGACAGTCTTTCTGCAGTACATGGTGCTGTTGTCGTATGCAATGGGGTCTAGAACCAGTACATTGTACACTCATTGTGCACTTAAACGCACCCAGCAGAGGTGTGTTGTCGGCCAGCCACGTTAACCAATCGTTCGCAAAGTTCGGAAATGATACCGAAGCTGTAGTGGAGGGGATTGCAGCCATGGCCAGGTCGAGCGTGGGTATCACATTGGCATTCATGTCATGACCGCGTGCCAGGACATTTAAGACTGCAGCATTACGTGTCACGTGTGTGCCAGCTGGTGCTGAGCAGTGAGAACATGACAAAATGATTTGAACGTTTCGAAGAAGGTCACCATCACGACTGTCGTCTGCAGCAAACTGTCATACTGAAATTCAAAGTGCTCGCAGCCTCCTGCAGTCCCAGCCATTGTCATGCATGGACCGCACGCCAAGAACGGTGTGCCTTTGACATTGGACGGGCTTTAGGCACGGACTCCATGGGCAGTGAACTGCTCTGGCGCGCAAGGTTTGTTAGCGTGCATCTTCGATTGTACCAACGCTCGACCATGTTGATGGTGTCGCACGTGGGTCACCCAGTTAGTCACTACATGTCAGTGCTGCAGTGCTGAGTGGTGCAACGACGAGGTGAACAGCATACTCAACATTTGCAAAGTGGCGCGTGTTGTGTATTCGCACAGTAACGTGCTGCCAGATCGTTGCGAGAGCTAACAGGATTGTTGGGGAAGCAGTCATGGACTGTGGCTGGTATGGCCGATGGGCGAGAAATGAGGCGTGGGGATGGCATGTCACCGTTTGTCGACAACTCGTTATTTTCTAGGCTTGCTTTTGTTTGTAGGGCCAGAGCCAGACGAAGTCGCCATGCCCGGCCCATTAAACAATCCTTGCCTTTGAAGCACTGATAAAGTTCCTTAGCCATCCCGGTTCGAGGTCCCGCTCGTCGCAATCGAATGCACGCGCAGCGATGGGCCACAACGCAGCACAAGTCAAACCGTTTTGGTTCGACCTCTGTGGCAACCTTGGTGCACGCGGTGCTCAAACGCACTCGCCGTGCATGGTCGGACAAGCAGCCAAGACTCAACTTGTCTTACAACCAAACCAAGAGAAGCCACGAACAGTCTCGGGCTCTCTTTAAATACCAGAATGCGCCTCTTTTTTTGCCCACCAACACTCACACTCAGAGCGCCGGATTGAACTCACACTTTGCACACGCACAACACGCTACCCCACAGCACCGACCCCTGGCATCGACCCACGGCACCAACCCACAGCTCCACCCCACAGTGCCAACTCATGATCCCGAAAATTAGTAAGATTGAAGCTAATTGTTGGCCGGCCGTCCTCCTGCCATCTCAATCAGGTCAATGTGTGCACCAGTCAACCAGCACATGAACAGGTGCTTGCATAACATGGCAGCTGCGCCTGTCATGGTGTGTCAGACTTTCATCTCTTTAGCTTGGCTTTTTAATATGTATTCACTGCTCTCATTGAGTTTCACTGCACATCAGTGTTCAGCCACTGACCTCCAGTTATGGGAACTGGAAAGTTGCATGTGAAACATCGAGAAAAATGACAGCCATCCAAAGATATTGCTGATGGCATTCCTCGAAACGGGATTCTCATATGCCACCATTTAATCATCGGATTACAGATCAGTAACTGACGGAGGCAGATCAGTGGTCAATTACTGGTAATTCGAACATGGGAACACCACGACTTCTCACTGCGAATAACTCCGAAATTTGCCAGGGTTCAATTACCACTGGCTCAACCAATCAGAGTCAAAATGCCTCACTGACAGAAAGAAATCCTCGATTTGATTCTGATAAAAACCTCCAAACTCGTTAGAAGTGGTTAGCTTTACCTCAACAGAATATGAGGATTCGGATTTGCTCAATGCTAGAACATGTAGTTCTGCATAATCACAGAAGTTTGAGCTCCGTTTAATCAGAAGCTCAATTCTTGCGTAGTGGGCCCAATCCCATCAAACACTATGCACAAGTTGTGGAAGTGCGATGAGACCCCATCATATCCAAAACGAGCAATTTGTGATCACCGTTCTGATGATTGCTCTTCAAATTGGATTGATATTCAAACAGAAGCTTTTTCAACTGGCGGTCTTTCTTGTCACACTAGTGGTAATAAAGTCGCCATAGAGTTGAATTCTCACATACAACCACTTTGAGGCAGACAACAAGCCAGCTGCATGATTCACTGCAAGGATTCAAATACAAGTGATCATCGCAGCCACAGCAAAATTCTCTTGGGATAAAAGCATGCTGCAGAAATTTCATCTTGAAGGTACAGCGCTGTCATGCGAACCCATATTCACATGCAGCCATCTCCAGTACCAATTTTGATGAAAAAACCATGACAAAGTGGACGAATCGCCCTAAAAGTGTTCATTTCTCACTGATACGCTGTGTGGCCTGCTCAAGAAGATAAAATTGCCCTTGGTGCTCACCTCTTCTGGTGGCATCACACGCCCCATATGGATGGCACTCAAGTGGTTCTTAGTTTTTGGCAGGTACAACCACGTTTGCTTAAAACTCAGGATAGTAGAACACATCATTTAGTTTGCATGTGTCCGCAAGCTTTCCAATACGTCAGGACCTACAGGTCGACGGAATGTATGATTAAAACAGGGTCCAAAGTGATGCAAAGTTCGTGAGTCATAAAAATTCACCCTTCTCCGCTGCAAAGCAAACGGGCAACCACTTTTATCCTGGCTTGAAACCCCTACCATCAAGGGTTGAGGCTTTTCACTTGGAGTATTTTTGAGTGTATTCTTGAGGCTTTCAAAGAACCTCAAATCCAGGGCAACTACATAGGCATGCCCAGAGATACAATGCACTTCAGCCAAAGTGACTTGATGCCAGCGCTGCAGTGAGTACTGCGATGCTTTCTTAAAAAGCGTGGGCGCACACTATGCACACCATATCAGGCTGTGCGCGTCATCGCGCTCTTGAGGTGGTGCTGCATCCCGGCACCCTCCTGCACCTGCCGACCGCGCCACCTGCGCAGCCGCGACCTCCGTTGACACCGAGCTCTGCGGCTGCGTCAATAAGAGGCGTGCCGCGTTTGGTGCTGCCTTGGGCACAGAAAGCACGAAGCCGTTTGGAAACACAGACATTGTCGAAGCGCTCAGCTCCGTTGTTGCGCATGGCGGTGGGGAGCTCGCGCTAGCAAAGACAACTGGGTTCTGTCCCGTTAGAGTGGCTGCCGTTGGGTCAAACTGCGCTGGGGATGGCCTCACGCTGTCGGCCAAGCCCTACGTACGGGCGACCTGGGTAGCTGCGACGCGCGCTGCCACCCTAGTGTCGCGGTGCCGCCGATCGACGCGCGTAGCCATCTCCCATCCCCAACAAGCATCGCCCAGGCCAGCTGAAAGACAGGCAGGCGTACACTTCTCTCCCGTCCGTACAGCACGCTCCTTAACGTTCGAGCGGGTGGATCCATTCGCAGGTCCACCTCGAACTCGGGAATTGTTGGCGTGGGACATGACCATCCCAGCCATCGAGTCACGCCGTGCGAGGCGCGACCGATCAAGGAAAGATTCTAGCTAGGACGGTAAGTCCCAACCTGCTGCTGGGTTGCAGCCTCAACGCTTGCAAGCCACAGCACCAGGGCCCAGACCAGGAACAAGGCTCCGAAACCATGATAAAGTTCCTTAGCCATCCCGGTTCGAGGTCCCGCTCGTCGCAATCGAATGCACGCGCAGCGATGGGCCACAACGCAGCACAAGTCAAACCGTTTTGGTTCGACCTCTGTGGCAACCTTGGTGCACGCGGTGCTCAAACGCACTCGCCGTGCATGGTCGGACAAGCAGCCAAGACTCAACTTGTCTTACAACCAAACCAAGAGAAGCCACGAACAGTCTCGGGCTCTCTTTAAATACCAGAATGCGCCTCTTTTTTTGCCCACCAACACTCACACTCAGAGCGCCGGATTGAACTCACACTTTGCACACGCACAACACGCTACCCCACAGCACCGACCCCTGGCATCGACCCACGGCACCAACCCACAGCTCCGCCCCACAGTGCCAACTCATGATCCCGAAAATTAGTAAGTTTGAAGCTAATTGTTGGCCGGCCGTCCTCCTGCCATCTCAATCAGGTCAATGTGTGCACCAGTCAACCAGCACATGAACAGGTGCTTGCATAACATGGCAGCTGCGCCTGTCATGGTGTGTCAGACTTTCATCTCTTTAGCTTGGCTTTTTGATATGTATTCACTGCTCTCATTGAGTTTCACTGCACATCAGTGTTCAGCCACTGACCTCCAGTTATGAGAACTGGAAAGTTGCATGTGAAACATCGAGAAAAATGACAGCCATCCAAAGATATTGTTGATGGCATTCCTCGAAACGGGATTCTCATATGCCACCATTTAATCATCGGATTACAAATCAGTAATTGACGGAGGTAGATCAGTGGTCAATTACTGGTAATTCGAACATGGGAACACCACGACTTCTCACTGCGAATAACTCCGAAATTTGCCAGGGTTCAATTACCACTGGCTCAACCAATCAGAGTCAAAATGCCTCACTGACAGAAAGAAATCCTCGATTTGATTCTGATAAAAACCTCCAAACTCGTTAGAAGTGGTTAGCTTTACCTCAACAGAATGTGAGGATTCGGATTTGCTCAATGCTAGAACATGTAGTTCTGCATAATCACAGAATTTCGAGCTCCGTTTAATCAGAAGCTCAATTCTTGCGTAGTGGGCCCAATCCCATCAAACACTATGCACAAGTTGTGGAAGTGCGATGAGACCCCATCATATCCAAAACGAGCAATTTATGATCACCGTTCTGATGATTGCTCTTCAAATTGGATTGATATTCAAACAGAAGCTTTTTCAACTGGCGGTCTTTCTTGTCACACTAGTGGTAATAAAGTCGCCATAGAGTTGAATTCTCACATACAACCACTTTGAGGCAGACAACAAGCCAGCTGCATGACTCACTGCAAGGATTCAAATACAAGTGATCATCGCAGCCACAGCAAAATTCTCTTGGGATAAAAGCATGCTGCAGAAATTTCATCTTGAAGGTACAGCGCTGTCATGCGAACCCATATTCACATGCAGCCATCTCCAGTACCAATTTTGATGAAAAAACCATAACAAAGTGGACGAATCGCCCTAAAAGTGTTCATTTCTCACTGATACGCTGTGTGGCCTGCTCAAGAAGATAAAATTGCCCTTGGTGCTCACCTCTTCTGGTGGCATCACACGCCCCATATGGATGGCACTCAAGTGGTTCTTAGTTTTTGGCAGGTACAACCACGTTTGCTTAAAACTCAGGATAGTAGAACACATCATTTAGTTTGCATGTGTCCGCAAGCTTTCCAATACGTCAGGACCTACAGGTCGACTGAATGTATGATTAAAACAGGGTCCAAAGTGATGCAAAGTTCGTGAGTCATAAAAATTCACCCTTCTCCGCTGCAAAGCAAACGGGCAACCACTTTTATCCTGGCTTGAAACCCCTACCATCAAGGGTTGAGGCTTTTCACTTGGCGTATTTTTGAGTGTATTCTTGATGCTTTCAAAGAACCTCAAATCCAGGGCAACAACATAGGCATGCCCAGAGATACAATGCACTTCAGCCAAAGTGACTTGATGCCATCGCTGCAGTGAGTACTGCGATGCTTTCTTAAAAAGCGTGGGCGCACACTATGCACACCATATCAGGCTGTGCGCGTCATCGCGCTCTTGAGGTGGTGCTGCATCCCGGCACCCTCCTGCACCTGCCGACCGCGCCACCTACGCAGCCGCGACCTCCGTTGACACCGAGCTCTGCGGCTGCGTCAACAAGAGGCGTGCCGCGTTTGGTGCTGCCTTGGGCACAGAAAGCACGAAGCCGTTTGGAAACACAGACATTGTCGAAGCGCTCAGCTCCGTTGTTGCGCATGGCGGCGGGGAGCTCGCGCTAGCAAAGACAACTGGGTTCTGTCCCGTTAGAGTGGCTGCCGTTGGGTCAAACTGCGCTGGGGATGGCCTCACGCTGTTGGCCAAGCCCTACGTACGGGCGATCTGGGTAGCTGCGACGCGCGCTGCCACCCTGGTGTCGCGGTGCCGCCGATCGACGCGCGTAGCCATCTCCCATCCCCAACAAGCATCGCCCAGGCCAACTGAAAGACAGGCAGGCGTACACTTCTCTCCCGTCCGTACAGCACGCTCCTTAACGTTCGAGCGGGTGGATCCATTCGCAGGTCCACCTCGAACTCGGGAATTGTTGGCGTGGGACATGACCATCCCAGCCATCGAGTCACGCCGTGCGAGGCGCGACCGATCAAGGAAAGATTCTAGCTAGGACGGTAAGTCCCAACCTGCTGCTGGGTTGCAGCCTCAACGCTTGCAAGCCACAGCACCAGGGCCCAGACCAGGAACAAGGCTCCGAAACCATGATAAAGTTCCTTAGCCATCCCGGTTCGAGGTCCCGCTCGTCGCAATCGAATGCACGCGCAGCGATGGGCCACAACGCAGCACAAGTCAAACCGTTTTGGATCGACCTCTGTGGCAACCTTGGTGCACGCGGTGCTCAAACGCACTCGCCGTGCATGGTCGGACAAGCAGCCAAGACTCAACTTGTCTTACAACCAAACCAAGAGAAGCCACGAACAGTCTCGGGCTCTCTTTAAATACCAGAATGCGCCTCTTTTTTTGCCCACCAACACTCACACTCAGAGCGCCGGATTGAACTCACACTTTGCACACGCACAACACGCTACCCCACAGCACCGACCCCTGGCATCGACCCACGGCACCAACCCACAGCTCCGCCCCACAGTGCCAACTCATGATCCCGAAAATTAGTAAGTTTGAAGCTAATTGTTGGCCGGCCGTCCTCCTGCCATCTCAATCAGGTCAATGTGTGCACCAGTCAACCAGCACATGAACAGGTGCTTGCATAACATGGCAGCTGCGCCTGTCATGGTGTGTCAGACTTTCATCTCTTTAGCTTGGCTTTTTGATATGTATTCACTGCTCTCATTGAGTTTCACTGCACATCAGTGTTCAGCCACTGACCTCCAGTTATGAGAACTGGAAAGTTGCATGTGAAACATCGAGAAAAATGACAGCCATCCAAAGATATTGTTGATGGCATTCCTCGAAACGGGATTCTCATATGCCACCATTTAATCATCGGATTACAAATCAGTAATTGACGGAGGTAGATCAGTGGTCAATTACTGGTAATTCGAACACCGTCATAGACAAGAGCTGCTTCAGAGCACGCCCCATCTTGAGCCTGAATCGAAAACATATCTTAGCTGCTCTTCCGATTCGGTTGGACAGCGCCTTGTGCACAATGGGCAAGCCCACGCCCGCGCTTGGCTCGAACACAAGTATGCACAACCAGGTGGAACAATATTGCATCCGAAACGCCGCTCCTCTCAACACCAAACGTGCCTGCCACCTCCGGCCGCGGCCATCCCCTGCTCACGGCATCCTTTCAGGAAATTCCGCCTCCTGGAAACTGCTCTATCAAAGCAACCATCAACAGACTTGTTGAGATCTCAGTTCGCTTGCCTGCGTTCCGGGCGCCGATTGGACGCGGTAGTGCGCGATCTGCACTTCCTCTCCCAGGTCCTCCAAGTTGCCCGCCAGCCTCTTTCCAATGAACTCTGCCCACGTGAAGGGCCGGTACAACACCGTTGCCTTGGGGTCCGCCACGCTCGCAATGGGTTCGCACACCGTGTCGTGTGCCGGGTTGTAAAAGAATGGCGCCGAGTAGCGGCTACCCTCGCGTGGCGGCACCACCCTGTGGACAGGCGAGCAGATGGCGTCGTTCGAGAAAACCTGCATCATGTCTCCCACGTTGACGACGTATGCCCCCTCAATCGGCGGGATGTCCACCCACTCGCCCCCGTGCTCAACCTGCATACATATGGACCGTCGTGAAGGGTCAGGAGCAGCGAACACACAGCGGGGCCCTCGTCACAAGGGCGGGTATTTGATTCTCTTTGACACACTGCATGATGGTTTGCCAGTCTGCGAGCGACGCGATTGATCTGTGCAAGAACTGGCCAGTCTCAAGGCATGAATCAGATGACTGCTCTACAGCCTGCGAGTGCACCACGCGGACCGCGCACCAATTGGCGTTGGCGATGCTTTCAGACTCACTGAGGACCACGGTGCGTTCAAATGACGTCCTTCAAGCCTTCGCCTGCCTGCGAGGCAGGGCCACACTGGATTGGCCACACGCTGTAACGACACGCAAGAACAGCAGGTCCGCATCCCAATCGGTTGCCCTGGCAACCGTGCACGCAACAGCGGGATCGCCACCTGGAGCCCTCCCACGTCGTCCTGCAGCAGCAGCGTCAGCATCCCGACGTCCTTGTGCGGCGACACGCCCAAGTTCCCCTCCGGGTTGGGGCACTCGGGGTAGTGATTCAGCCTCAACAGCGACGCGTGCCGCCGGCCCAGCGCCCCTGCCAGGGCGCCCGGGTCCAGTCCCAGCGACCGCGCCACGGCCGCAGTCAGCGCCGAGGCCAGTCCCACCATCGCGTCAAAGTACTGCGTCAGCGTCTCCCGAAAGCGGGGCAGGGCGTCCGGGTCGGGCCACCGGTTTTCTCCGTCCACGGGGTTGCCCTCCGGGCCGCCGTAGTCGAAGCCCTCTTTCCAGTCGCGGCGCCGCTTTGTGAGCTCGTCGTCGAAGTAGCCGCGCGGGTTATCGGCGCTGCGGAAGACGGCGCGCTTCACGCTGGCGGGCGCGGAGAAGAACGCGCGGGCCTGGGCGTTGAAGCGGGCCAGCAGGGCGTCCGGCACGCCGTGGCCCACGGCCTGGAAGAAGCCCCACTCGCGGCAGGCCGCGCCAACCTGCGCCGCAGTTAGTTGACTTGCGAATTGTGCAAAGAGATGTACCAGGTCGTGCAATAACTGGGTCTGCAATCCCAAGCTGAGCGAAGCACCCACGGCTTCCAAGGCGAGAATTCCGAGTCTAAAACAGTGGCGGAGAGGTCTCCGAATGGAGCGCTGTGGGCACGCAAAACATGGGGACCCAAAACCTGGGCCACGGCGCTCTCCACCGCAGCAGCATCGGCGTCGGCATCGAGTAGGAGGGGACCGACGTCGATGACTGGCGCGCTGGCCATTGACTGTCACGCGGCCTCCCCGGACAGAGCGCCTGCCAGCCGTTCTGCCGAGCGCGGGGCTCCGGCGACGGCCGGTGCCTCAAGAGACGCGCTTCGCGTCACCCTTCCTGCGCCTGAGTGCTGAGGAGGGAGTCCACAGGTCGGATGGGGTGACATTTCCTGGGATAAACTGGAGTCGCAGTGAGGAGGAAAAAGGGCACAACAAACAGGGTAAAAGGGCACCACCCAGGCTGGTGCCAGGTGGCGCGGGCCGCTGAGGTTCTTTTGCTTGTCTACAGGTGGACTACAGGCTGGCCATAGCACCAAGCCGCCCAGATGTCCACCAGCGAGCCAGTTTTCAACATGGAAGGCATATTGACCACCAGTCGTGGGTTGCTGCGGTGGGCTGGGTCCCGCGCACTGGTGGGGAACGCGAGCTACCGTCAATGTAGCCCAGACATCCGTATGTTAGCGTGGGCTCAGAAGAGGAACACCAATAGTGGCCAGGGCCAGACTGTTGATAGTGCCCCAGCTCTTTGTGCATCCCAGCACTGGGTTGAGGAGCACATTTGGAACAGAGACCAACTTGGGTCCCATGCATGAGGAGGAATGGAATGGCAACAGTTGCCATTCTGGTGAGAGGGAATACAGGCCATCCAGTAAGCACACTCGTTTTGTGTCCTTGAGAGACCACCACAGGCAGGGGCTTTCTTCTCGAAATGTGACACCTCACGAAGAGTTTCGCATTGCGAATCTTCGTGCAGAAATGCTTCGCCGGAGGCGCTGCGGAGGTGTGACATGATTCTTTGGATGGGATTGGCAACAAAGCGATGCGCAATGGAAGCCCCTGCCTTCAGGCTCTCAAACAACGTACAGTGCTGGCAGTCTGCACGGACAAAAACTAACAATAATGTGCTGAGTGTTCTCACACTTTCAAAAGTTTGTTTGCATCGACTCCCTGCCTCTCGTTTCAAGACTGTCCTTTGACCCAATTTGAGAATGTGGCAATGAGCTGCACGCCACAGCCAGTTGAAGATGCCATCCTGCGATTGAGGCACATGCCTGGCTGCACATGAAGGTAAAAGCTTGAAAAATATGCTGTGCCATGCAACACAAATTGCAAAGGTAAGCTCATGAATACCTTTGCAATTGTGTTGTACACATGAGCTAAATGTCACATTCATTTCACTGACTGCAGAGGCCATGGAAGTCCCTGCCTACCTTTCGCCTACGTTTCCACTCTCCATCCAATCCTCCAAATTTTTGATTAGGCAGAAGAAAACTCCCAATGCCAACAGTGAGTTGCTTATGTTTGAGCAAGGGTGCCATTTCGGGCATTTCAACAGCATGCCTTTTGACCAGGCCGCTGAACATAACTTTGCTTGTAATACGCTGCTGCAAAGCCTGGTGTCTTCTTCTGCCTGCTTGTATGGATTCATTTGACAGCAGCACCATGACACCTTCTTCAAGGTCGTTGAGTCAACAGATACTTTGGAAACCACTATCGCCAAGAATCTCAGGAGAAGCATCCAATCCATACCCAGCAACCACTTGGCTGGTCAAACCTGGTATCCAGCATTGTGTACACACAGTTTTGCCTGCTGGGTGGCAGCTCATCCAAAACAACTTTATAAACTCACAGCTTTTTCAGGGTCCACCCCAGTCTGCCTAGTACAGAAAAGTCACGAAACACAGAAGACAAAAGCCCACAGTCAGTTTTCCCGAGATGGGGCTTGGCTTTACACCCACACCACCCATTGCTTCCCAACTATCCCCTTGCTTGACATCAGACAGATATCCTGTCTCCACGCCACTCAAACACACATTTAAGCGGCGGCACCGCCAGCTTTCACCCTGTAATGCGTAATCTGGACCTCCTCCCCCAGATCCTTAACATCCCCAGCTATCCTCTTCCCCCGGAATTCTTCCCACCTGCATGGCCGATATGCGGCTGGCCGCTCAGCGGTCACCAGCCCTGCCAACGGCTCGCAGACGGTGTCGTAGGCTGGGTTGTAGAAAAAGGGGGCGGAGTACCGCTTCCTGTGCCGCGGGGCCACCACCCTGTGAGTGGGCGACCGGATCACGTCGTTTGAACAGATCTGCATCATGTCCCCCACGTTGATGACGTACGCCCCCTCCACCGGCGGGATGTCCACCCACTCGCCGCCGTGGTCGACCTGTAGCCCAAAGACCGTCACGGACAGAGTCATCACACCACGCCATGGGCCAGCCTGCCCTTCTTGCTACTTGTGGTGTTTTGTGTTGTGTGCTCCCAGCAAACTGGAGACTCTGCATGAACTTTTCACAGCATGGCACAGAGTCCTACACACACTTGCCCAGGAGGGGGTGCCCTATGCATGACCTGCTTTGCGATTTAACAAATTTTGCTCCCCTTCTCCTTGACCTCGGCGCATTCGCAAATATCATCTTTACGAGTTTCAAACGTTGAGCTCATAGAAAAACGCGACTTCAATGCTCCCAAAACAGGTGAAGAATCACGAGTCAACGAGGATTGGCGGACACCCACACCTGCAGGCCGCCCACGTCGTCCTGCAGCAGCACGGTGAGCATCCCCGCGTCGTTGTGGGGCGAGATCCCCAGGTTGTTCTCGGGGTCGGGGCACTCCGGGTAGTAGTTCAGCCTCAGAAACGACGAGTGCCTCTCGCCCAGCGCGCCGGCGAACGCCCCCGCCTCCAGGCCCAGCGACCGGGCGACCGCGGACGTCAGTATCGATGCCAATTCGGTCATCGCATCGAAGTACTCCGTCATGGCCTCCCGGAATCCGGGAAGGGCGTCCGAATCTGGCCACCGGTTCTCGCCGTCCACGGCAGTGCATCCTGGCCGCCCGAAGTCGAAGCACTCCTTCCAGTCGCGGCGCCGCTTGGTGAGCTCGTCGTCGAAGAACCCCCGCGAGTTGTCGGCGCTGCGGAAGATTGCGTCCTTGACCGGGCGCGGCGCCGCGAAGAACGCCCGGGTCTGGGCATTGAATCGCGAGAGCAGGTCGTCCGGCACGCCGTGGCCCACGGCCTGGAAGAAGCCCCACTCGCGGCAGGCGGCGCCGATCTGCTCCGCCACGCACCGCACGCCCTCTGCATCCCCGTCGTCCGCCCTCAGCAGAGCAGCCACGTCGATGACCGGCGCGCCGGCCATTGGAGCCTGCGACGGCTGGTCTGGTGGCTTCGACGGGCTCGGGTGACCCGGGGTGGGCGGAACTTGGCGGGTTGGGGGTGAACAGAGGCGGGGGCGCCGGGGGAGGGGGGGGAGTGAGTGGCTGCAGGGTTGGGACAAGGGGCAGCAGTGTCCCGCCACCTTCGCGGGCTGTTGCTACGTGCTGACAACAGGATTATGTATCGGATTGAAGGTCATGGACATCGTAGATACGGGGACATCACACTTAGCAGGGACGGAATTTGGTGGGGCGGCGACCCCTGACTGGGGACCGTAGGCTCGAGTACACGGCAACGGTTTACAGCGGAGCAAAGGGACAACAGGAGTTCTGTCCCTTGCATCCAGTCCCGTTCATCAATGTCCTTAATGCAATTCCTTACGCCTCGTCACACAGTTACGCGTCCAGCTGTTAATAATACTAAGTCAGTTGTAGTTACAACGGTGACACACTCCAGTGCGAGGGTTTTCCCACGTTTTGAATCAGCCGAACCGTGGAAATCTCGCGTTCCCTTAAAACGGGACCTGAATGCGATGGGGGGAGAATCGGCGGCATCCCAACAGTGTTGCTTTTTGACATGCCAGATTTATGTTCTGGTATGGATCGGTGATGGAATTGGTGGAGATCACTCGGATGTGGCCGGGGCTGCGGTGGGCGAAAATTTGATGTGTTTCGTGTGGGAGGACACGCGGACATTGTTCAGCGAGGGGGGACATCTCTGGCAACACGTTGACACGGTGTTGGACAAAAGCTTTCAGGTTTGCATTTGACAATTAAAATTTGCGCGGACCTTTCCCACCAAATGTTGTTTAGATCAATCAATTCACCAGGCTCGGGACATCAACAATGTAATAACGTCTGATCACGCGAGTGAGGAGAGAATGGAATGCATGGATGCAGGACATGGCAACGTTCTTGAATGTTTTCACGCCCGTCGTCGCCTATTTGCAATGACGCGATGAAGTGGTGCTTTTGGACCTTGTAGCTACAAGGTGTACGGGCACCGCTTTGTCTTCTCGAAGGAAAGGTAAAACGATTACAGCACTTGGCGATAAGATGCGGCAAATTGAAACCTGTTTTGAGATAAGCTAGGCTTCGGAGGGTGTCGAATCAATTGATTTGTAGGCAAGAAAAAGTGCTACCTTGCATGTAAAGTCCACGCTGATGGAGAAAAGGCAGTGCTTTGCCAACCAAGCAAAGGACAACAAGGAACAGGCCCGAGATATCAATTGTGGGCGAACTATATTGAATTGTTGTAAAATACTTCCAGGATGATGTGCTTGATGTACTGTGTCAGACTTTATTTTACAAAAGCCCTGAAGATGGGAAACTATGCGAGACAGGAAATGGAGTTGTTTGATTTCAGCACGGCGATCCGCTGGATAGGCACCGAGGGCCATCAATCTGTGGTGACCAGCAAGTCGGTTATCTGCCACATTGCACCACCGCTTCCGACGTCCCAGTGCCCCCTTGTTCTTTGCTCGTGAAGACCAATTGGTGAAGGGAGACTTGTCCATGGCGACAAAGTAGACGCACAAATGCTCAGCTGCTTAGCCCAGACCTCCTACGAGCACGGCCAGCCACCACCAGGCAGACTGCCCTATCGATGCTTTTCCAGAATGAGAATAACAAAGAAACTGCTCCAGAATCGCATAATGTTCGACTTGATATCATGGGAGCCAAACCTATGGTGTGGTGCATTCAACGTGTTTTTGGCCGAAGTTTCCAGAAGATATCTGAAACGGATTTAATCCTAGCCAAACAATGGCTTATTTCTCTAGCCTGCAAACCTTCCAGCACGGGCAACAGCATTCATATGAGGCTAGTTAATAGTATGCATTGTCAGACACGACGCTGCCGCGTTTTCAGCAATTTTCGTAACTTGTTTACAAAGAAAAGATTAACAAACACACGGTTATAGTATGGACAACACGACCACGCTGCCAGATGCTTGTCTTCTCACCTTATGTGCGCTTGCACTCCCATCTCATACACTTTTAAATGAATCGTCGGCCTGTCACAGTGCAGGTGTAAGTACTTCCACTGGTGTAATCTTTACACTGGTGTGAAGATAGTGGGACAGAACTGTGAATAGGAAAGGCAGGAAGAGGGCCGGAACACGGCACTGCACTTTTAGAAGCAAGGTCAGCACAGCAAGCCACAACCGCGCTTCTGATTACACCGCTGTGTGGTGTAAGGCACGCATGTCCTGCAACAATGGCAGGTTGCATGCCGTGTACTATCTAGAGGTGGCCACTCAAAGGTGCCATCCGGTCCGTTAAATCCGGTTCGTTAATTTTTATCAGCTGTCCGTTAAATTTCGTTAAAGAAAAAGGGAGAAAAATTCAGAAAAAACGAAAAAAATCCAAAAAAATCGAAAAAACCCAAAAAATCACAACAACTGCGGCTAGTTGAAAATCTAGTATGCATAGGTTGAAATAAAATACAAACATACTCTCTAATAGTGAATTCCATAAACTATAAGTATGACTAAAACCCAAAAATCCCCAAAAAATCCAAAAATCCGCTAATTTTTGGTTAATTTTTGTCTTTTTTTGTTATTTTCCGTTAATTAACGGAAAAATAACGGAAATTAACCTCTGTCCGCTATTAACGGATCCGGGTGGCCACCTCTAGTACTATCATGGTTGGCATTTACATCTTGGCATGTGTTAATTATCGAATTGACTTTATGGAAAACGTCTACGAGAAATTCTATTGTTATTCTTGCCTTGTGCTGCTCCCGCACGAACTTTGTCTTCAACGAAGCCCCTCCCTGGGGGACAGCATATCGCACATCGTGCGAAGTACGAGGCTAGGAACGAGTGGGAATCACGGCAATCACTCAGCAGGATCTGTGCTGCGGACCAATTTACGCAATACCCTGAGTATGCAGAAAGACCATCAGCTCAAGAAAACATGCAACGAAGGTGGTCCATGTGAATCAGCCACGAGATCCATTGAAATAGGCATGTACGGCGCCTCCCCCGTTAACTCCCTTGGGATGCATATTGCGCTCCAAGCCACATGCCTCCAACGCAACCTCACTTTGCTTACAAGGCCACACTTTGAATCATCTGCTATCCGTATTTATAATAGGGATATTATACTATTCAAAGTATTGTATACGATACGAACCTGTGTTGCATGTTGTCATGGGGCCATTCACCCAATCAGTCCCTACAGGGCTTGTACTTCACTTCACGCCTGGCAAAACACTTCTCCATGCACATATGCCGTTCAGGGCGGCAACCCCCCTTGTCTTCTGCGCCACCTGATGGGGTTCGTTGCGGCGTGCCTCGCCATCGCGGTGCTGTACTGGGCCCTTATTGGCGTTCCGACGGCCTACTTTCTCATATGGCTGTGTTCCAGAGCCGGGCAGCCACCCGGACAAGTTGCCAAGCAGGCGCCTACAGGGTCCTTCTGCCCCCCTCGCGACGAAGCCATTGTTACGGAGGTCGGTGCTTCTCAGAAAGAGCGCGAATCAGTGGACACCGCGTTGGCCAACCTTCCTCTTTACGATTTATCTCCTGTTGACATTTCCGATGCCTGCTCGTAATGATACTCTGATCCCCTGACGGTGGAGTTTAATCAGCGGGCGCCTGGGCGACTCTGTTCGGATTTGATTGCTGAGACAAACGCGCAAGTGCATGTGCGTTTAGTTTTTCTGCGAAGGACTACGGTGGCAGGGCGATAAGACTGCAGAACACAATGCCCATGATGATGGGAAGGGGTCCATCCCAGGGGTGGAGATCGAGGGGGCTGCGTACTTTTCATTGGCAGCAAACATTACAACCTGGGGTGGATCCATGCCCAGAAGAAGACTGGATGCATCTACATATCCGACAACCATAGATTTGGCATCATCCATCCATCCATCATGTGCCAATCTTTCCAGACTGCCATTCTTGACAGATGTGCCCTCACCATACTTTCGGCAGTCCTGCTTCTGGAAGTTGGTCTCTCGGTTGCAGGTTGCATGGATTGAACGTGGGGCACCCCTGAATGCAGCACTTTGAGCATATGAGTGCTTTCCCCACTGATTTGCATTTTTCATCTCCAAACATAACCCTTGCACGTGTCAGGAGATGTCTGCAGCTTGTCATCGCTGTGTTCAGTGCTTGGTCATCTTCTTGGGCATTGCAAATCGTGTGTGGTTGCTATTGTCTGTGAACGACAACATTTGGCCCTACAGAAGGTGACCAAAATGTCCTTCCCTCACCAATGTGGTGTTTCTGTTGTGGTTCTAGAAACATGGATCTCAAGTCAATGGAAGGATTTTGTTCGGCTCCCAAACCGGCCGTGGGAGCAAGTTTGCCCAACAGCTTCAGGAATTGTCCAAAGAGCGAGGTGTTCCATTGGGGCTTGACGACCTGGGGACATATGAAGTTGAGCAGCTGCTCAAAGAGCCATTGGTCATCATCATTGTATCCACATATGAGAAGGCTAGTCCGCCTGAAGCTGCTGCATGGTTCTGCAGGTATTCTCCATCCTCATTGCAAACATGAAGTATGACCAGCATGAAGAATGTCCTGCAAATATTTCAAATCCTACAAGCAACACATTTTCTTCCATTTCTAAGTGTAAAAGCAAAGGATACAACAGGAATCCTTGGGGGAATCTAAACAACGTCAGTTCTGTGAATGTCAGACTTTACAGCCAGATTTGTGTATCTCAACAGTTCTGACAAAAGCAACTCTATTGTGTTTATCTTGGGCCATCTTACCCCTGTGCTAATCATTAGATGGGACTTGTGTTGTGATGAAGCACAATGTGCAGGATGTCTTTGTCGCAATGTGTCCTTAGGCCACAGCACTTGCTGCAGCTTGGCACTTGCTTCTGTGCTGCCATCCAGGGTATGTATGGGTGCATGCATCAGTCAATTCTTTGGGGGAGTTGCTCTTGAATTTTGACTGGTGCAGAAAAATGAAGTCAAGCAAAGTCAATGCAAGCACAGCACAATGCACGATCGTGAGCACAGTTTTACCATGGCACGTCTCCTTCTTTCCAGTGTCTCCACTGTGCCTGAGAATTAGGCACCTTCTTTCCTCTACTGAGCTGTATGTGGCCATTATTCTCTACGATGATGCATTGGTGCTCAGGGAAACACATTGGCGAAGTCGTTTGTAACATAAAAGTGCCAAATCGGGCCATTTTATCAACAGATTCCCCTAGAAGGGGCCTGGTTTTCCAGTAGTTTGTTGATTGGGCTGCGCAAATTGGTGCCATGATCAACGTTGGGTCTTCACACTCACATAGCTCTGTGGGCGTTTTCTTCAAGGTGGCTGGACGAAGCTGCAACCGATTTCCGTGTTGGGAGTCAGGCCCTGTCAGGCACCAAGTTTGCAGTGTTTGGCTGTGGCAACCGGCAGTATGAAGAAAATTTCAACACAGTTGCCAGGAGGGTGAACAAACAGCTGTCGATGTTGGGTGGACGCCAGATACTCGAATGTGAACTTGGAGATGAAGATTCCGGTTATATGGATGGGCAGTTTGAACATTGGGCCAACAAGGTGAAGCCATGTGATTGTCAGTACATAGTTCTGCAGCATGTTGTGGACCAAACTGAGCTAACTTTTCTTTGCAATTGTGTTGAAACAATTAAATCAAATAATGCAGTGGAGTAGCTTGTATGCGGTGCTTTTGGAGAATTGTGCTGCTGTGTTTGGCATGTATGCTTTGAGCTCGAAAAGGTTTTGAAATTGTAGCTCAAGGTTATTGCCTTTTGTGTATCATACTGACAATAGAGCCCCCATTTCTATCTATCACCAGTTGCCATATTCCATTGTGTGTAGACACAAACTGTGCTCCTATCATCTTCATGTTTGGGGCCTCCAAAAGGAACAGCACTGGAGTGGCAGCAGACATGGTTCTTTGTCCCTGACAATTTCTTGTTACACATCAATTTGGGATGAGCTAAGACGGGTGTGTTTACCAGCTTATTGGCCTGCTGGCTAAAGATGGGCAGATATCATGTGCCACTGCGGATGTTGCTGTGCTGCAAGGCGTCAATGTGGCTGACAGTGGCGAAGAGGGCAGCTATGAGGCGAGCAGTGATGATGATGGGACCCAAAACGAAGCAAATGAGGTGGGAGAAAGTCTCAGTGCCCCAACCTTGCTGTGAGGTCCTTTGTCACGAGTCTCTTGTTTGAACTGCACGTGATTCTGTAACACAGATTTGTAGGGGCGGAGTTCCTTTGGATTCAAGGCAAAGGGACATGATTGCTTCCTACGTCCTGTTTGTTTCAAGTCAAATTATGACTTTGCACACACAGATCATATTGCAGGAACTGTATCTCCATTGCCTTCAACTTTGGCCCAAAGTTTTGAGACATTGTGTTTTCAGCGATGCCTGTGGCCAACATAGAAGGCGATGTTCACACCAGATGATACAGCCTCACCAAAGTGCGTTGTCCGCCAGCGATCCGTTGGTAAACATGTGAAGAGAAGCATTTCCTGGGTGATGTGCAGATGGACATTGAAGATCTGGCAGGCAAAGCACCCAAACGTGGGGATTCTGTGGGCAAATCGAATGCCAACGGCAGACAAAATGGAAAACGGGACATGCTGACTCCTGCTCTGCGAAGCTCCTTGAGCAAGCAGGGCTACAAGCTCATTGGCAGCCACAGTGGCGTGAAGCTATGTAGGTACAGTTCGCATGAAAAGGTGGCTTGATTCATTGCACTTAGCACAAAGGGTCAGCCAGTCTACCTGACTGGACAATGTAGAAGCAAATCCAAACCAACGGTAAATTTCCACCTGCTGTCCTATGCATGTAGTTCCTTTGGATCGTGCTTTGAGTGCACTGGGCAGAGGATTATGCCTATGTACTCTGTTCTTTGCATGTGCTTGATATTGTTGCATTAGAGGCACACAACAAAAGTTGCTGGGGGGGACAGCTTGTCTCTGAGCTTTCATTAGCCCAGTGTGGCGGGCTGTTGTTTATCAATTATGTGCGGGTTCGTTTGGACTAGAGTCTTCTGTCACTGCTGGACATTGCCGGACCCTGCCTTTGCCATATGGATTTGCATGAACTTATCCGCAGGTGGACGAAATCCATGCTTCGTGGCAGGGGCGGCTGCTATAAGCACAGTTTCTATGGGATTGAATCCCATCGCTGCATGGAGATGACCCCCTCCCTCGCCTGTGCAAACAAATGTGTCTTCTGGTGAGTGACTGGCGAATGTCACAACGGTTCGTATGTGGGGCCGTCCACCATGGGTTCCTTTGTTGCACCATTGCCATGGATATTTCTTTGTGATAGTTCCTTTCGGTTATGGCCATCCTTTGTTGCCGTGATTGTATTGTGTTCACCAGGCGAAGTGGAGCGGTCGCTGCGAAGTACTGCTGAGATTGTTGCTATCAATTCTCTTTCCATTCCTGTATAGCTGGGGGCTACAGGTCGTAGACGTCGGTTTGGAGACCATTGATCATTGCATCCTTTAGAACCACGGCCACCCCTGTTGATTGGCGAGGAAACGAAGCCATCTTGCCAATTTTTTGTGGACTACTTCTTGTCTCAATCGCTCCCAGTTCGTTCAGTGGTGACCGACCTTTCAGTAGATGCTGCACGGTTCTTGTGCAGATAATGTTTGTCAATCTCCTTGCGCTGCGATGAATGGGCTGCGCACTGTGATTTCTTGGCGAAGCTGGTCAGTGCGAGGCATTGAAAGCATCCTTCTGCTGTCCCTCACGTGGCGGTTGGAATGTGCTTGGGACCGCTGCACCACATCGCCAATATGGGGCAAGGGCTTCTGCTTCGTCATGTGACAAATGCAATCAAAACGAGGATTAACACACGCATGGCTGTTGCCTCTTGACTGCATGCAGCTGGAGGCACCACACGAATCCCGTTGGCAGGGAGTGGAAGTGGAACATGGACAGCGCACAGGACATTGTCGAAGCAGCCCTGGACTATCATGTGAAGATGATCAACGAGTACAAAGGCGTGCCTGGTGTCAAGGCCAGTAGACTGGAACAGGGGTACAAGGTGGGATTTACTGAACTGGCTACTTGCTAGTATTTGCACCGCCCATACCCCTTCGCTGGTGCATGTAGCTGTCTGGCGGCCTCAGTATTGCTGCTGATAACGGTGTTGCTGTGATTGTCAATGATGGACTGCGAGATGAATCTGCCACGATCCCGTTGAGGAAACTACCTGCTGTTGATTGGCAAAACTGTGGCGGACATTATGCGACTTGACCCACTTTTGTGCTGCCAACACTGTGATGCCCAATGTTCAGCAAAGCAACAGGCTCTGTTATACAGAACTTACAAATGTTACACTTGCAATATATCACTGTGATTGCAAACGCAATTTACTTGCTTGCATTGTTTAATTCTCACGATCTATTCATTTACTGCAGTCGATGAGTTTGCATCGACGTTGCGTACAATGGTCTGCTGTTTTTGCCAGTGTTGCCCACTGGGCCTCATGGCTTTATGAATGGATGGCCTTGAAGGTTTGCGGTGGTTGCTGCCAAGGCAGTACAATAAATGTGTCACACCAGTCCCAATTTCATGGCCAACATCGGGATCTTCTGTTTCGACTATTGGCGAAATTTTGGTTCAAAAGCAGCTACTCTGATTGTGGCAGTTGGCATGTCCTACTGTGGTGCGCATGTGCCTGAATCCTAATTGATAGTTATGCGGGACAATTTTGCAACCAACGATGCCGCAATGCTCAGGTTCGCCACTGTGCCCTGTCTCTTGTGGGGGAGCCCATCATGTACCCGGAGATCAACGCCCTGGTGGGGGAGCTCCACGGTCGGGGCGTCTCCACCTTCCTCGTTACCAACGCCCAGTTCCCAGACCAGATCCGGCACCTGCAGCCCGTGACGCAGCTCTACGTGTCAGTGGACGCCGCCTCGAAGGAGTCGCTCAAGGCGGTCGACCGCCCCCTGTTCGCCGATTTTTGGGAGAGATTCCAGGAGTGTATGAAGTTGCTGAAGGACAAGAAGCAGCGAACTGTGTATAGGTGGGCAGGTCACACTTCCCTTCAAAATTGTTGGTCGGATTTTCGCATCATTCTTTATGTGCAGCACCCGACCGCTGTGAGGTGTGCCTAAAATAGGTCAGGTCGAATCACTACAACATGTGTTTGTGGCACATCAAAGCCAGGAGCAACACGCTGTGTCGAGAGTCGGGTGCCATTGCTGTCCTAATAAGAGTGATGGGACGGTGGAAGGGGCGGATATAATCAATTTGATTTGCTTGCGCTGTGTGGCACAAAACGTACTACCTTTGTTGACATCATGGGCCCTAATGCGATAAAGCATTCTGATTGTACTTTATAATGAGCGCTTATTCCCATGTTACTCACATTGTTCACATGTTCATGCTAGTAGTATGTGTATTCGTTGCGTTCAGAACCAACAGTGCTTATGTGCCTTCTCTGTCACATTGGATAACGGATGAGAACAGGAGGGAGACCAGTTGGCTGCCTGTTGCTGAATTCAAACTGTGGAAAAACAATTGTAAATGTACAGCTGGATACAGAATAACGCTGTTGTGTATCATGACAAGAGTGAAGGAATGAGTTTTTCCGCAATAGCATGAATAGAAGCGTTCCGGCTGCTTGGGTAACAACTGTACTGGAGTACATCATTGATGGCACATTTGGTTGACAAAAAGTGTTGGACATTGCCCTGTGCCCTTGTTGTCGCCTTCAACGCCAGCCAGAATTGCTTGTTGAGCGGCGGCTCCGCCGCACGACATGTATCTGGCACTGAATGGAGAATTTGAGTCAGAATCATGGTGCTGTGGTGGTGAGGGACGTGGGCGGCTATGGCTCTCGAGAGCAGCGGGCATCAGCACCACTGTAGATGCTCACATCGGCGAAGGCGGCGTTCTGAGAAGCGAGCTTATGCGAATCGTTAATTTGCGGTCCTCGTGTTTACAAACAGGTCAAGTTGCCTTCCAGAAGATGAACGGCAATGCTTACAGCCTCAGGTTGTAATCCAAAACGGCTTGTGGAAACCCGGCAGTGGGATCCTATGGGTGCTGTTGTGTTGATTTACTGTAGAAGTGAGGTTTGCTTCCTGTGTGCATTAATTGGCTGCTGGTGTGTCTGGACGGCGTCGGTCAGACTGACGCTCGTGCAGGGCTGGAACATGGAAGACATCGACGGGTACAGCCGCTTGATCCAACTGGGATGCCCAGACTTCATCGAAATTAAGGGTGTGACTTATTGTGGCAACTCGGGGGCCAGCGGCCTGACGATGCAGAATGTACCATATCACAAGGACGTCTGCGATTTTGCACAGGCTCTGTGCGATGCTTCCGATGGTGAGTGGGCATTCATCGCCCCAGCGGAATCCCTGCGCTCATTGCGCATCTCTCACCTGACGGCAGCCTTGCATAGCCATGTGCGCCATGTGCGACTTCAGCCGATTTGTGCCAGTCCCCTGTGCAATATCTAGCCTTCCAGCCAGCTAAGATCTAGAACTCCTTCATAGGCAAGTGGTGGTGCGTTCCTCTTACTTGAGGCTGCTTCACAATGTGGAGTTGTGCTGTGCGGAGGTGCTGGTGACCATAGCTGTAGGAAGAGCGCCGGCTGCAGAACCGACGGCATCCTTTTTCATTTGTCGGTCACCAAATTGTGCATCCTGTGAGCACGTCACTATTCCATTCTATTTCATCTGCCCGATCCGCTGCTCGTCTGTTGTTACCTACAGCACACGAGCACAGCATCGCGTGACGTCGCAGGCACCCTCATGGCACGCAATGCATTGTGCCTTCACAGTGACGAAGTGACAGCGCACTGGCGCTCCGTACTCTGTTGTGTGGTGGGAATTCCTGCTGTGGAACGAGGTATAAACATGTCTGGTTGGTATGAATTAATGCTTGTTTCGTTATGACCAGTGAAAAATTTGCCATGGGCCCTTTCTCCTTCGAGAGAAGCTGTGTTGATGACAGGACTGCCTGGCGGTGCAGGCGTGTATGGCGTGGCATGCGAGCACGAACACTCCTGCTGTGTGCTGTGCGCTCGACGGGACCGTTTCTTCAAATCCGGTGAATGGCACACTTGGATAGATTACGAGAGATTTCAGGCCCTGCTGACGGACGGGTGCCCTTTCTCTTCAGAAGACTATTTGCTGCCCACACCGCACTGGGCAGTGTATGGAGCCCCGGAAGCCGGGTTTGATCCAATTGAGTCGAGATTCAAGAAGGAAAGGAGGCACAAGCGGGATGGCGCATGAGGCGCTGTGGTGCCACTGTTTGACTTGCAATCGAAGAAGGTGCTTGGGCTGGAAGATTTCTGCATTTGCTGTCTTAGCGCCACTTGAAAACACCTTCACATCTTGCAATCATGACGAGAGCGGGAGGGGGGGTGGAAGACAACACGAAGAGAGGAGGGAGGTGTGGGTTGCGGATAATGACAACGATTGCTTATTAGCAAAGCAATTGCCAGGAACAGAGAGTTTGGGAGCCTGGTGCGCGTTTCTTTTTGAAAAAGATTGGTTTTTGAATTGGTAGATAGTGTGTTTTGCCTTCCATTCTTAAAATGCACGTCCCTGGAGGTAGTTGTAAGGTGGTGAGAAATCTACATGTCACACGGTGTTCTGGCCGCGGCATACGATTGGGCCGCCATGGGTGCTTTATATACGACACCTTTTTGCAAACACCCCGAGCGGTTGTCGCAAGTCCTAACAACTTTTTGTTCGTTCTTCTCGTCCACAACTTTGAACAGCCCATCCTCCAGTTCCCAACTACGTAAACTGTGTGCATCTTTGCAATAGAGTTCAAAGTAACGAGTTCGATGTAACGCCTTCTCACGTGGATACTGATGCAATGAGAGAAATCCTGGCGCCATTGGACACGTTTCCTTATCGAACAAATTCAATGCCGCGATTCAGCTGTCATCATCATTTTTTTTACAGAACAAGGCAATGAGGTAGCCGTCAGCTCCTATTTTGCCTGAGCAAAGCAGCGTCGGTGATCGGTTCGTTGAAATCTAATGAGACACGCAAACTAAATGTATGATTCTATGAACTCCCGATGCCTAGAAGCGATAATCGATGGCAATACATCATAAGAAGTGTCTTCCCGAGTTGGCGAGTTGGAACTGAAACAAAAAGTACTTTCGCATTGCGATATCGAAAAATACAAGAGTCGCTTTGACGGATGTTGTCATGGGCTTCACAGTGGAAGAGAACATGGATTCGGCTGTCACCACACTGCATTTGTTCTGCCCACACATTCTCCTGCTGGCTATTTATCAACGCTGAGTCCACCCCAACGATGAATTGAGTGTTGAACGCCTTGGAAACGACCGCCTTTTCCCAAGCTGGCGGCCAGCTGCCTTGACCGCAACAAAGGTACGTGCCAGAGGCGAGCTCGGACACGTGCCCCGGGCGTCCCCTGGCCGGCGGCGCGTACTTAAAACGGCGCCCCGGTCACTTCCCAATGGACCCCTGGCAGCCACGTCCGCTGACCCGGTTAAATCGTCACCGGCAGTTCCGCCGCTTTGGCGTATGAATTCGCCTGTCGCTTCAAGCGGGGCCAGTCCTGCTCCCGACCGTCTCCCTCAACCCCACTCTGACGACTTCCCTTGGGGCAGGCGGCCTCGCCATGAGGAGGCGGCTTCGCGCAGGCACGGTGAGGCAAGTCGAGGCTTCGAAACGCACGCCGGGCGCCTTTGGCCTGTGCTCAGTCTTTCCGCTTGAGGGCCGCCCACGTTTGACCGATGATCGTATATGTACTGTTCTTCCGACAATCTCCGACGAGCTCGAGAACAATCGGCGGACCGACCCGTGGAGAGACTCGCCGTGCCGCCGTGATTTGACTAGCGCGGGTTTGCTGGCAGCGTCTGACTTAGTGTTTGACACGGTGCAGACTCCGCTCGAGGGAGTGCAGCCTGGCTGCGGGGCTCCCTGGCCATCGCAAGGGTCGCCGCTGTGGTCGCGGCACATCAAAGTGGAGACGGTGAGCGGTGCCAGACAAGCGCCCAGAGTCGTTTTCCTGTGACGCTCAGCGCTTTCGGTGCACATGATTTCGCGGAAAGCCGCAAATTGACACCCAGCATTGTATTGCATGAGCGATTGGAAGGACGCGATTTTGGAAATAAGGTGCAAATATTGTGCTCGATATTTCAATGGAATAAACAATCGAATGACGGTGGCATATGATATGAATATATCAATGACAGTATAAACAAATAAATTGATGAAAGAATGAATAAACAAATAGATATATTAATAAATATATTTTGCTTTTTTTCCTCATCTATTTAATTCGGTTCACCTGCACGACGGTCTGCATCTAGGCAAGCATTTGATTCAAGCTCAAGTTTTTCGCTCATGCTGCAGCCCGAGCGGACACCACTGGTGTCACACCAGGGGCGCGTCGTTCCCAAGGGGCTGTGCCACCCTGCTTATACGTTACAGATCATAGCCCATGATGAGAACGGGAAACCACATGACACTCCCCACGGCATCACTCACACGATAGGCGCAATCATCAACAGGACAGCGCCACCGCCAACGAGGTGACCTCCAGTAAGGCACAGCCTAGTATGGCTACGGCGACGACCTCCAAGAATGTGCCAGAGAGCGTGGCGGGTGTGGCAACGACGGTGGTGGCGATGGCTGTGCAGCAATGTCTGTTTTATTGCGATCGTATGATACGTTCACATGGCCAAAGCAGCAGTCGCACTGGAGGAGGCGACGCCTCCAAGGAGGGCTTGCACTACCAAGACAGCCACCAAGCATGTAACAGCTCCAACGGCCACGAATGCAGACACCACGAAAGACCAATGGCAGTGGTGACGAGCTGACCGATACGGCCAAATCAAAGCAGTTGCGAAGGGCAATCTTGAAGCGATGTGTCAGGCACTGCGATGCTCACAGCGCAGGTGAACAGAGAGCTTCAAACAAAAGTTTGCCATTTTTCCTTGGTGCAGGAAACCTTTAAAGCTTTGAAATCGAATTGAATCTAGTCAATGCGCAGCAACAAAGGCGGACCTTGTATGCTACAATGAAGCCACTGCTGCAATGCTGTAGCATTGAATCACTGCTAGAATTTTAGACAGGATCGTCGCTATAAATTCCACACATGGTGCATGTCTTAGCTCAAAATACGTATCGTTATCTTTGCAGGTGGGCATTCCTTCAACAACAATGCAAGGCATGTCATGCTGAGAGCCGTCTCTGGAGGCTGCTGTGGATCCGCAGTCAGGAAGTTTCAAATCCGCTTGAATGACATGCAGCATGCTGGGATGATTGCAAGAGCACATGTAAATTAGAGGTGGCCACCCGGATCCATTAATAGCGGACAGAGGTTAATTTCCGTTAATTTTCCGTTAATTAACGGAAAATAACGAAAAAAGACAAAAATTAACCAAAAATTAGCGGATTTTTGGATTTTTTGGGGATTTTTGGGTTTTAGTCATACTTACAGTTTATGGAATTCGCTATTAGAGAGTATGTTTGTATTTTATTTCAACCTATGCATACTAGATTTTCAACTAGCCGCAGTTGTTGTGATTTTTTGGGGTTTTTTTTAATTTTTTTGGATTTTTTTCGTTTTTTCTGAATTTTTCTCCCTTTTTCTTTAACGAAATTTAACGGACAGCTGATAAAAATTAATGAACCGGATTTAACGGACCGGATGGCACCTTTGAGTGGCCACCTCTAGCGCCCGCTTCCATCTGTAACGCAGGTTCTTTGTCCTGCTCACCACCAGAAGAATAGCTACAGCACGTTCCCAAATTTCACCATCGAACAGCGCCTCGGATGCCCTCCTCGAAATGAGCTGATATAATTATGGCATCCTGGATACATGTCCAGCATCAATTGAGCTCGGGCCCTTTCCACAACCTCGCACGTCATGGAAAGGCATAGACCCCTGGGTCCTTTGATCGATGGCGCCACACGTGCCTTCGGCTAATTTTGTTTTGCGAGCCCTAAAGACTTTAGGCCATTGATTGAATGCAACTGGCATAATCACAATTGCGATCCATGGCACCAAGACAATTCTGTCTATCATCATCATCATCATCATAGCGGAGTTGGGTTTAGTGAACGCTATGTAACTAAGGAAATCATCATCATCATCATTATTATCATTATCATCATTATCATTGACAGGATAACCGAGAGTTCCTGCTTGCTCACGCACGGTCGCTCCCAGGCACGAGAAGCGAGGCCGCAACCAGATACATTACAAGATGATTGTACCAGCTAAATAACAGTCACCGTAATAATGTTCGTCTCCCATCTCCATTGTCTCCATGTGCATTCACCATAACACCATAGTCAACACCTTTACTTGACACCATAGAAAACACCATATATCACATATTATATATTAACCACTCCCTCGCCCTCACACGCTTCCCTGCGCCAAACACCATCCCCTTTTTTAAAATGCATCTCGGTACGGCCGCAACATATCCGTGTGCTAACCCACATCTTCCCCTCCGGACCCCGTACTTCCCAAACTGCATTCGTTATGGGGCGAATTAACTGTCCTAGACCCTTCCACCACGGTTCGAGCTTGTCCTTCAGCGTTTCGACTTTTGTGTTCCACAGCCACTCCCGGTCTCCTTTCCTAAACGTCCATTGGATGCGTCGTCCCCTCGTCCTGTGGTTTGCCTTCTCGCGTTGTTGCCACACGTACTCGTGCAATCGCTTCCACACGGCCCGTGAACTATTCCACAACTGATTCGGTGACCCGAATACGAAAGAACTGGGAGTCCTCTTACTCTCTTCTGGCGAAGAGAGGGGTGTACTATTGTAGATCTCCACCGCCCGCTCGACCGTCTTGGCAAAATACTTGGGCTCCTCTGCCCACATGCGCCTCAAACGGTTCAAAAGTGTTCGATTGAACCGCTCTACAAATCCAATGGATGAGTGATGGTAAGGGGGAGAGTATTCTTGCACCACTCCCTCCTGCGCACACCATCTCTCCAACTCCTTGGATTGTGTGGCCTTGCAAACATCAGAACACAAGATTGACGGTGTCCCTTGTGTTTGTGTCCATTTCTTCAGTCCCCGCACAATGTCTGCCCCTGTTGCCCCTGTTACTGCCCATGCTTCCGCCCTTCTGGTCAACATGTCCACGATGACAAGAACAAACCGCTTCTTTCCCACTTTCCTTTCTGGGAATGGTCCCATAAAATCCAAGCCAATAACTTGACCCGGTCTCTCTGGCGCATGCCAACTGCCGAACGGATTCAATGGTTGCGGTTGATGGAACA